GACCCAAGCGGCGGGGAATCGTCCACAAACCACGTCAATCCAGAGCTTTCTGACGGGTAGTATGAATTTTACTACTTTCCCTAAAACAACAATTTAGCGATACCGTACTCAAGATAGATAAAAGTGGAAAAGCGTGACATTCCAACTACACTTCAGGAGTGCTCGACTGGGACAAAATGTGAGAGTAGATGGAATGACAGCGACAACCAACGTTGGGCAGGCAGAGAGGTTCTGATACGATTGCAAACACACCCAAGTATCGTGGCAGTCACACGCTTTGCTGTGATTATGCTACTTCATGCGAGATTTTTGTCGACCACTCACTTGCAGAGCGGCTTCGGTGACAGCTCACGCACTCGGCGCCAGGGGGTCCAGAGCGCGGCATTCCCACGCCCATTCGTGTGTTCGTATGGCCCCCCTGCTATCTACTTCCGCGAAGTTATGCGAGAGAGCTCAGGCGCCACGGCCAGTCAGCACTATCGTCGAAACAACGCGCGAGCGGATGAGACGTCGAGCCGAGCCTATAGAGGGGATTACGATGTTTATGACGCACCTCATCTTGGCCCCCCACCTGAGTAACGCGTCACGCTTCCGAGAGAGAGAATATTGTTCCTGAGTGACGTCACTGCCCACGGGCCGCACCGCGAGCGTGGAGAGCTCCTTTCACCCGATCCCGAGCCGGCGGCGGCGGCGGCTCCGGCGCGCCACGTCAACATTCATCGCGCAAGATCATCCATCCATCCGTATTCCATTTGCCACCTCCATCGGACAGCACGACAAACAGGTGTCAAACACGTGTCGCCAGTACACGTGTAAATACAAAGACGGACAAAGAAGCACATTTCGGAACAACGCGGCGTAATGCGTTTATTTGCGCCCTGCCCGCACCACCAGCCCACAACAACCTCGACGCGCGCGGATTTGGTTTTATCTCGACGCCATACAAAAGAGCCCATCCCGCCCCGCCCCACCCCGCGCCAGGGCACACTTCGCGCCCAAAAGAAAGCTTTTGTATTTGCCGTGGCTGGCCGAGGCCACGGGCGGGCGCGCGTGCTGCGTGTGCTGCGTGCGCGCGACCTACATCGGGGCGGCGCGGGCGGCGGCGCGTCAGCAGAGCAGCGGGGCCTCATCCCCCCGCGGCGGCCTCGATACAAAAATGTGTTATCGACACCGACATCATGGGTATTGTCAGCTTGCCGGTGGGAAAAATGTCAGCGCGAGACCATAGGCGTCCACCGTCGTCGGACCACGCCCGAACTGTCTTACGACCGCGGGTTTATGCACTTTATGTTCTCTATGGCATTCCCAGATTGCCATCGGCCCACCCGTAGTTAAAGCACCGCGCCTCCGCGGGCAAACTAAATTAAAAAAATAGGCACCTTTTTTCCCCTCCTCTGCGGAACAAGTATTCCAGTTTTCACCGATCGGCCGCCGCGGCTTATCTCTCTCTAGAAATCAGTCGTGATTTAATATGCAGCGAGCATGGAGATCGCGGAGCTCGAGGCTCCAAGGGACACCGCCGCTGGCAGAGCCTGGAGGAGCCCCTAGACTAGGGCTCCAGCTCGGCCCAGCTGGAGGCTCCAGCGCCGCAGGACGGGCCGCTGCTGGCAGAGCCTAGAGGAGCCCCTAGACTAGGGCTCCAGCTAGGCCCAGCTGGAGGCTCCAGCGCCAGGACGGGCCGCCGCGGCGCGGGCCAGCTGGACGCCGAGGAACCGCCAAGCCGAGCCGCCGAGCCGAGGCGAGGCGCGATAACAGATCTTTCGCCACTTTCGTTTTCCTTCCTGACTGCCAAATCAATTTCGGACGCCAGTCCCGCAAAAATCCACAGACCCGGCGGCGAGCGAGGCGTGTATAGCGGAGGCGCAGCGACCGCGCGGGCCTCACGGCACCCGAGAAACGAGCTACATATCCAAGCTGCCACGCTGCCCGCGCCCATATGCAGGAAAGGGAAGCACAACATAAAAAAAAAAACTCACGGCGATTGACGTCGAACCGGTCATCAATGGTGAAGAACACCTTGGCCACCCGGTGCACCGGGTACGAGCCCGCGATGATGTGGTGGAACATGCACCCCACCATGGCTATGCCGCATCTGCTTTCGGGGTGCAGTTTAGCCGCGCGACTGCACTGGTGCAGGGTCCTGCTCCCCGTTGACGTCCACTGCACTGTTTCCCAAGTGTAATACAATAATAACTTCCACCGTGCCCTCTCTCTCTACGTTTAGTCGTCGCACGCGCTCGCCGATGGGTTGGGTTAGGCTGACAAACACACGCGTCCAAGCAGGCCGTCGTCGTCACACTGGACAGAGCACCCCGTGTGTCCCCCTGCTCGGCGCGCTGCTGCTGCTGCTGCTGCTAGCGGGTGCAATAACCAACAACACCCCCTGCTGGCCGACGGCGGCGGCGATGCGCACACGGTGCAAAGTGTGTCGCAAGGGCGCAGCGCGGCGGACCAGCTCGCGAGTCAGTCCGCGCGCGCTGCTCCGGCCCCAAGCCCAACGCCGCGGCCGCGATCGTTCACCTCGCCCTCCCTCCCTCGCCTTCCCGCCCAACGAGCGCCGCCCGGCCGCAGTAATACCAATTACCAGGCGCGCCTCATTGACTCCAGTGTTGGTCACCCCCCCCCCCCCCCC